TTTTTTACCGACCAAAGTTGGTCGGTCGACCTTGATCGGTTTTTGCCGAATTTCTAGTAGTGTTTCACTTGAAAATTTAAATATAATATAAATATAAATCACCGAATATACTTTATATGTTGATCCTTTACTAGCTAAATATAAAATTAAAAGGCAAATGGAAAACATGCAAGTCCCGGATAATTTCCCTTTTTTTATTTATTATCCCTTGAAGATCTAACCATCTTTATAGAGATTTTAAGCATGATGTCCATTTGAAGGGCCATTAATCAAAGCATGGAACTTTTATCCAAAGGTAAACGACGTGAAATAGAAAAGCTGCATGCATAAGAAAAGTACTACTAATTTAGTTAGGGGTGTTAAAAGGGACGGATCCCGGAAAAAGAGAGTTTTAGAGCAACGATAAAGTTATCTCTATATAACATATAAGTTAGGGATTCGTGCCGTGGAAACTGTCGTGCGCTAATGCTTGTCTTTTCCTGAACTCTGCGTAAATGCGAAATGTTTTGTGTATTGGATTACCTTATGTTTTGTTTAGGGTGTGAATCCATTGTTATGATATCAGATTCATTTGAACTCAGTCCTTCTGATATGACACATAAATTTATGTATAAAAATTTATTAAAATTATGATAAATATAATTTTACTAGTATATATAAATTCAAACACTTTAAAATATAATAAATTCATACTAAAAATCTAAAAGGTTAAAACTCATCAACTGGATAACTACCTATGAGATGTAATCAATTTAATGGCATTTAAAACAACATTCTTGATAATTGAGAACTTTTTTGTCCCTTCTCATGAGCTCAATGTACTTGTCCCAATGCTTCGAAGAATGTTGACTTTTATAATATCCAAATAAAATGTTGATGGAGAGCTAAAATGTCAAGGCAAATCTCATGTCCTAATAAAGTCACTTCAAATCTTAACTAATTAGAACTTAGCTCGAGGTCACCTACAAACTTTAAGCTATTCTATTTTTAACTTTTCAAAGAGCGCGCAAATTCACGAGAGCTATTTATATCTCCCATAAATGGGTAAAAATGGAAAGAGAAAAATGAAGAATATAATTCCAAAATTTATATAGTAGGAGTATGAATATTTACTCTTACCATAAGCTTCACGAGGATTATTTAATTGACCTGTAAAAGGACAATAAAATGAAGGAAACATTAATGAAGATATTCCAAGTTTTATGTACTAGAACTCTGAATTTGTTAGCATTATCTCATTAAGAAAATACTTGAATAAATTCTTAACGGTATAACTTATATCATTTCCATGAGAATTTGACAAATAAGAAAACACAAGAAACAAAGGTTATTCCATTTCCTTTTTCTTGTAAAGCTAGAAGAAATCTAGTCTATTTTACATATTAATATACTAGTAATAGCTAAGGTCCAACCTTATAACTATAAAATCAAGTTGATACTAGAAAAATGTCTAATGTATTAAGATTAAAGTTTAAGTTTTATATACTAATAATGTAAAATTCTTATATACGATCAGGTTACCTATAAGGTAATTACACGTAAAATTTTATGATAAATATTAAATATTAACCTCGTAAAATAGCAGCTAATCTAATATTAGAAGTAAAACTACACTGATAGCGTGCAACAACAACAAAAACAATAGCATATCCACTGTGATCCTACAATTGGGGTCTAGGCCCTATGGAGAGTGGAACGTACACAGACCTTACCCCTATTTTGTGTGAGGTGAAAATAATATTTTTGATAGACCTTTGACTCAAAACTACTAATAACGTAAAATAATGTTTAAACTGTCAGTGCATTAATTTAAACTCCTTAAAATTATTAATCAATAAAACACTGAAATCTGAGAGGGCAATTAAGAATAAAAAGGAAAAGATGAAGGACTTATTACAAAATTTACTTACCCCAACAAGTTTCATTCGAATTTTCGACCGTTGGGGCCCGTTATAAGGACAGTATAACCGTTGATGTTATTATTTTTAAAACCCAAAATTCCCACTTTCCTCTGTAACCCCATCATCTCCCTTCAAAAACCAACGATAACCAAATGCAAATCCTTGTCTGAACAAAAAAACCCACCACCCCAACTACCCCCAAAATCAATGGGTTGTGTATCTTCCAAACTCTTCAGAAATGATTTCAAACAAGAAATTCTATGCAAAAATGGTGAAGATTACACTCACCATATTGTGTCCTTAACTTCAAGTACTTATGGTGCTTTAAATCTTGATAAAGTTCAAAACTTTACACAAAATCCACTTCCTTGTATTAAGGAATGTGTTAGAGAAGTCAAGAAATCGCCACCCCGCGATGTATCTCATGAAGTTATTAATACTTGGGAACTAATGGAAGGTCTAGATGAAGAATTAGTAGTTCCTAATTCCAAAATTAGCCCGAAATCTCGAGGTTTTTTACGTGGTTTTGCTGATATCGATGCTCGTAGTAGCCCGTTAAAGTTCTTGAATCAAATGAGTTCTCCTCGAAAGTTGAAGAAATTTGGAGGTAAAGAGAATAAAGGAAAGGCTAATGGAGTTGGTAATTTTGTTGGTCGATCGGATTTTAGCCCGAAAAGTGTCTTGAAAGAAAGTAAAAAAATGCAGCAAAGTCCATGGAAAATGACACCAAGATTGAGAAATTCTAAGCAGGAGAGTCCGAATGAGTTGAAATGTGATAGTTTGAAGGTTGATTCTGTTGTGATTTCGTCGAGGAGGAGAAGTCTAAGCCCTCTATTCGATCCACAGCTCGTGGCAGCATTCGAGAAAGAACTATCCGAAGAAGAAGAACAGATCAAGACAATGGTTTCTGTAACACCACTTTCGCGAAAAGCTAGGAATTCGCAGGAAGCAGAATCTATGCTTGAATTATTCGACGAAAAATGCCCCCCGGGTGGTGAAAATGCAGTTGTAATTTACACAACTACATTAAGGGGTATAAGGAAAACATTTGAAGATTGTAATACTGCTAGAGCGATACTCGAATCGAATGATATACAGATGTTTGAGCGAGATATATCGATGCATTCGGGGTATAAGGAGGAATTGAGAGGGCTAATGGGTAAAAAAGAGGTGAAGGTTCCTTTAGTATTTGTGAAGGGAAGGTTGATAGGTGGAGCTGACGAAATGGTGAAGTTGGAGGAGGAGGGTAAATTGGGAATTTTACTCGATGGGATTCCGAGGGCGGTCGCTGCCTGCGAGGGCTGTGCCGGAATCCGGTTTGTTATGTGTATGGACTGCAATGGAAGTCGCAAAGTGATGGCTAAGGATGGGAAGAGTACTGTCAAATGTGGAGAGTGTAATGAGAATGGTTTGATCCAATGTCCTATTTGTTGTTAACTATGTAAGTTAACTCATATTATGTTTAATTTATTTTCTCATTTTCTGTGTTTTCACTAACTGCATTTTTTTTTCCAGGATTTGTACTAGTAGTATATTAGTATCATTTTCTTAATGTGTTGGAGGGGGAAGAAAAAGAATCAAAAAGGTATTTAACTAGGTTGCATACCATTGTCACTTTGATTGCAAGTTTGTATTGAAATGGCTATAAAATCAATTTGTGCTCATTTTGCTGCTGAATTATGTATGGAGAATAGCTATGTTGCTCGGATATAGTGTATTTTTAACAATTCGCATGAAGTACTCACTTTTATTACACTCTTCGAACACGAGTATGTTAAAATGGCTATGAAATCAATTTGTGCTCAAGTTTGAGTGGAAGTACCCGATACGGGTATGCCCACTCTTCCGGCATGAGTATGTTAAAACAAATGAAGAATCCGCGCAATATAGGGGAAGTGCAGTGAATGTGGCTTGGTCATGTTTGTGAATATAACAAAATGAAACATGACCCCAACATTCAATTAGTCTTTTTTTCTTTTTGATTGGATTTACTCATCCGGTGGTCGGTTCACATTGGAGCCGCTATACCCGGATTCGTGTCACGTAAGGATTACTTAAGGGAGAAACGTTCCCTAACAGTATCTTTTTCATACACAGGGCTCGAACTCGAGACCTCTGATTAAAAATATAGAGATACTATCCATCCCACGACAACCATTATGAGTAGTTAGTCCTTTTCACCATGCAGATTGTTGTTTGCATGGACCTCTAGTCTAGTTTAAGGAATTTAAGATGGCAAGCGTGCTGTTGACCTTTTTGCTTTTAGAACACAAAAGAATTTGATTGTCTTGGGCTAGATACTAGATAGTGACAACTCGTTGGCTGCTAGAGAATGCTTTAGACCAACGAAAAAAGGAGTTAGACTACCCAAAAAATTATATTTCAAAAGATGGAATCAGTTGTATTTAAGCTGTTCAGCTATTTTATTTTTTGCATTTAATCTGATATAAATTGGCCACAAAGATTCTTGGAGTTAAATGAGGTGTAGGTCCTTATATTTAATCTGTTCAGTTTTTTTTTTTTTTTTTTTTTTTTTTTTTTTTTTTTTTTTTTTTTTTTTTTTTTTTTTTTGGCATTAAATCTGATATAAATTGGCCACAATGATTCTTGGAGTTAAATAAGGTGTAGGTCCTTATCATTAATCCAACAACAAAGAAAATTCATAGTATTTCATGACTTTGCATTTGTATATTCTTTTTTTATTTTTTTTATTGGAGATTTTTTATTATTTATTATAGATAGAATTCATGTTTCCTATGTTTGAGCACGGAAAAACAAGAAAAATGAAACCTTGAAACACTATTATATTTTTGTTTTTTCTATTTAGTTTTTTCAAATTGAGTTAACATCTTGATATGGAGATCAATCTAATATGCACATAAAACAGAAAGAAACTCTTATTAAGTGGTAATTTTACATCATGATAATCTCCAAAAGAATAAAAAAAAGTAAAATACACTCATAATTGTTTTTAAGGGAAAACTTGAATCTTGCTTAATTGAAGAAGCCACTCGAAATCTTTGCTCGGACAGGTGGGAACAGACAATACCAAATCTTTATTCTTATCTAGAATTTTGATGTCTTGTTGAAAGTTATGGATAAAATCCTCAAAAAATAAGAAGTTAATAGCATGTTTGGCCAAGTTTATTTTTGGGTCGAAAGTGTATTTTTTTTTTTTTTAGCCAAAGGCATTTTTGGCCAAAAATTGAGGTGTTTGGCCAAACTTTTGGAAGGAAAAAAATATTTTTGAGGAGAAGCAGAAACAGTTTTTGAGAAGCAGAAGAAAGTAGTTTTTCTCCAAAATCACTTTTCTGAGAAGCACTTTTGAGAAAAATACACTTAGAAGCAGTTTTCAAAAACTTGGTCA